GAGCCAGCGGTTACGCCGACCTCTCCCCCTCTTTACGCCCAACTCAGGCAGGGGAGCTAAGAGCAGCTGGCATCGCCCACCGGCCGCCCTGCCCAGGCTGCATCCCCACGACTAGCGAGACATTTCCCAAGCAAAAGTCTTACCAATGCCACGGGCAACCTGGATTCCTCCCTCCCCCTTCCCTAAAGGTGCCCAGATTACTGCCAGCGGTTACGCCGACCTCTCCCCCTCTTTACGCCCAACTCAGGCAGGGGAGCTAAGAGCAGCTGGCATCGCCCACCGGCCGCCCTGCCCAGGCTGCATCCCCACGACTAGCGAGACATTTCCCAAGCAAAAGTCTTACCAATGCCACGGGCAACCTGGATTCCTCCCTCCCCCTTCCCTAAAGGTGCCCAGATTACTGCCAGGGAAAGCTACAGGCCTCGGGACGGACTGCCTGCTCCGAGCCGCCCCTCTCACAAAGGGCAGGGCTGCATTCAGAAGCGCCATCAACTCAGCAGCACGTCCTGCCGCGTTAGTTCTTCCTGGAGCAAAGCAGCTTCCCACTCACCCGAGGAGGATCCTTCTCCTTTCAAAAGAAGTTCTTAATCAGAGGTGTTACCAGCTTCACCCACAGCTTCACGCAGCGGCTGGGCTGCTCAAACGTACAGGACGACACCACGGCTGCCCGCCGATAAAGCTGTTCCTGCTCCTACAAGGCAAAGTCCCAAAAGTCAGTCTGACCGTCTTCTCCCAGCCTCGCCAGGTTGGGCACATCTACAGCCTCAGCTTCCGCCTGGCCAAAGGGGCACGTCGCCAAGGACCCAGCCCGGCCCGCCACGTGACACGAACTGGAGGCAAGTTGCCCAACCGCTGAGTGACGAGCGCCCCAGGGCACTGGGCCTGCTTATTCTGGAGAAACGTGCTCAGAACCCAAACATGACCTCGCCAAAGGGCCCAGGGCGGGGGCTTTGAGGGACTGAGCCTTACAGCTATCCTGGATTACTTAACTGAACTACAGTTACAGGAACAACACTGCGGGTCAAAGCCCTGGCTGGAATTGCCTGGAAAGGAAACCGGACTTAAATCTCAAGAGACTGGTTTGCAGAACTCGTCCGAGATGCAGCTCCAGTGCTGTGTTTTCAAATGAATATGTAGTCATGATTTCAATTAGATTACCAGAAATGCTCAAGTGCCTTTAAAGTATAAACAATACAACTGGAAGAGGAAGTGAACCCTCCGTTACAATAGCATCTCACATAGCACATGAAAAGCAGTGGTTTGATCAAAGGCAGAAGTGGCCCTTTCTGTAAAACTAGCAAGGGTTCTGGTTTTACGTGACATGCAAAACAAGAAACAGAAAGCCTGCTATTGCTACATGTAGCAAAGCACCTCAGAGTCTACCCCAGTTACACAAATCTTGCCCTGTGTTTATTTCCTATCATTCGGGGCTCCTTTCCTGATGTGTCACAACACAAAGATCTGAATGCAAAAGATTCCGACAGCAAAGCGTCTGTTTTAGGGAGGAAGCGTGTTGCAAAGCCCATGCAGCCCTCTGTTTGAGGCAGCGGGTCAGCCTTTTAATACAGCTGGGCAGTTACTTGCAGCTGTGGCTCCTCAGGGCAGCAGCCAGAAAGCCACCCCGCACCTTCGTTCCTTTTTGCAGTGGAGGTTGGACGCCAGCACAGGCTAACCCTGGCCCCAGGTGAGCTGGTCTGAAAAGTGGCTGCTGCGTATGTTCAGCAGCAATGCGGCAAAGCACAGAAGTGCGGGTGCCGGCCCTTGCTGTCACTCACAGCACAGGTGCAGCAGTGTTACTGAAATGCATCACCGACTGCCTAAAGCCCAGAGCAAAACGCCCCATCGCACGAGAGCACACCGGGCGCCTCTCAAACCACCACCCACAGGGCTGACGGAACGGAACGGCTGGGTCGTCAGCCCAGCCCCCGGCCTCCTGCCACCTGAGGGTCAGTCGTCTGGAGACTGAACGTTTTTCAGACACTGGCATCACCAGCCGCTGTGCCTTAGCGCAGAGAATATTTCCTAATCTCTTATCTGGCAAACCAGCAGCAACGTGGTAAAAGTCCCAAATGAAACGAGAATGAGGCCGGCTGCTCCCCCCCCCATTGCAGGGGTGTCCGAAGAGGAAGTGATCCCATGCTGTGCGGAGAGTACAAAAGGCAGCTCAAGACTGGCCCAGCCTCGTGGGAAAGGGAGGGGTGCCAGGCGTGCGTGCGCACGCCTCCCCCACCCCGGAATCAGCAACATACTATTATGCAGCCCAGAGCCTGTGCTTTCTCTCTTAGCCTTACCTACAGACAGGACCCTAAATCATACTGCATGTGTCACATGGTACCTCTCTCCCATGCCCCATTCACACTGGCCAGGAGTGTCACAAGGAAGAACAGTACAGCCAGGTCCGAACACTGGGTTTTCAAGTGACACGTGGGAATTGGCAAATCTCAGCTCTCATTTACACAAGTATGTTTCTACCCTCTTGGTTACGAAGAGAAACGTGAAGGTTAAAGGCTCAGTGAAGAGATTTTACACACAGGTTAGGTTCCTGGGGATTAGTGACGCTGGAGGGACCAGACCCTCAGCTGCTCCTGGCTCTGGAAATGAAGCTGTGACCGACTCCACAGAACAGCACAGGGCCTTGGACTCTAGCCCAGCTACGCCAACCAGCGACCAGCGGAGGGAGGCAGCGAGAAGTTCTGCTAGGTCTCATCTCAGCATGGGCCAGATCCCAGGTCACTTCCATGCCCTAGCGCTTGGCCAAACTGCTCTGCTAGCTCGGCACAGGCTTTGGTCTCCGCTTTACACAATCCCTTCGGAACACAAATATTTTCACTGATTTTTCTCATTACCGAGGAAAACAAACAGGGGCCAGTTACAGTGAAACATTCATGTGACTCTTCCAGTAAGACACAGAGAACTTTGTTGAATTAGATACAAGGCTGACTCCGAGGGCCAAATTCAGCTCTGGGGGAAGAGAGGCAATTCCCACTGAATAAAACTCAGTTTCCATAGAAGCAGTATGTGGCTTGCAAAGGTCCAGACTGAACCGTGTGCCCTGCTGCAGCATGCTTCATGGCTGAACCCTCCGGCACAGGCACTCCCGCGGCGCCAGTTCCCCAACTAGAGCGGAAAGCAGACAGGTGCCCAACAACCCGCGCTGCCCACCCCTTCCAGCCGCTCTAACACACGCAGCACCACTCCCTTTGAACCACGGAGAAACAGCCCATGGTCGAGGTTCAAAACAGGGCCACCCTTCTTCCTGAGGGCAGAGATTCTTACTGGAAAGGGGATGCTGAGTGCATATCCGCTTCCCTTCTCCCCCAGCCATCCTCTGCCAAAGGAAGCCGTCGGAAAGCAGCAGGAGGGGTCAGAGAAATATTATATGGGGTAAGAGACACTGTTGGTCGCAAGTGGATGAATTAAGATCCAAAGCACTTTCCAGGTGAGAGGTTAGCGACTCAGGGACCTGACCTCCATGTCCCCCCGCCGGCATGCGCACGCCATGGAGGCCAGGCCCGACTCCGCAGCATGTGAGAATAAGCAGCTTGCCTCAGAGTTCGGTTCGTCTCCAGGGCCCAAACCGTTCTCATCACTGGAGAGGCCCCTGGGACATTTCTGCTCTCACGAATGCCTCGAGTTCCCAGAAGTGGGCGTGGGCGGCCAAGGACCTCATCCCCAGAAAGATACATTGGCATTGGAAAGAGCTCAGAAAAGGGCAACAGAAGCGCTGAGGGGTTTGGAACGGGTCCCGTCTGAAGAAAGATTAAAGAGACTAGGACTTTTCAACTTGGAAAAGGGGAGACTGGGGGGGATAGGATAGAGGGCGATAAAATCATAACTGGTGTGGGAAAAGTGAATAAGGAAAAGATACAAGAATATAAGAACTAGGGGTCGCCAAATGAAATTAACAGGCAGCAGGTTTAAAACAAACCAAAGGAAGTTTTTCTTCACTCAGCGCACAGTCAACCTGTGGAACTCCTCGCCAGATGATGTGGTGAAGACCAGAACTTTAACAGGGTTCAAAAAAGAGCAAGATGGATTCATGGAGGTTAGGTCCAGCAATGGCTGTTAGCCAGGATGGGTAGGAATGGTGTCCCTAGCCTGTCAGAAGCTGGGAATGGCTGGCAGGGAGGGATCACTTGATTCCCTGTTCTGTTCCCTCCCTCTGGGGCCACCTGGCATCGGCCCGTCGGCCAACAGTTCTGCTCTGACCCAGTCTGGCTGTTCCTATGTTCTAAGGGCTCCCAGCTGACAGCTCCTCGTGCGCTCCGGTGCTCGGGAAAGCTGACGTCATCGTTGAAGGTTTTTAAGGCAATCGTCTCATCAGCACCCTCCCGCCCCAGGAAACCTCCTCACCTTTGCCACTAACCTGATGGAGCTGCTGCTGCAGGTCACGATTCTCTGTCACTATTGCAACCTGAGCTTCAAGGTCCCGATGAACCGACCTGTACCCAAAATTAGGAGAGCCAATCAGAGTCAGGCAGGGCAGACTGCTTCCTGCCAGGTACAGCCAGAGGCCTGCAGGAAAAGGGGGGGAAGGAAATATGGCAGACAAAGGAAGTGACCATAGGAGCCTCCAACAATTGCTCTTAATGGTTTTTGTTTCTTTGAAACACTTTATCCAAGAGACAGGAGCTGCGAGTGCCATGGCACAAAGCAAGCTGTCAGGAAACAGACGCTTCCTTCTGGACAGCCAGCATGCCTGGGCGCGCTTTGGGGGACAACGCGGTTTTGGCACCCTAGGGTGGATCCCAGCGACTTTCCCAAGGGAAAGGGTCATTTTTAAAGCCTAATACACTGTACACAGCAGCTCTAAAAGTGAAGACTCCAAATACAACCCTAAACAGCTGGTGCCCAGTACCGCCAAGGCCCCGCCGGATACACCCAGAAGTGGGTCTGCAGCATTCTCTTCAGTGACCGGAGAAAGAGGCCTTGAGCTCCGGCCCAGGCCCAGCAATCCCAACTCAGTTTCCATCCCCCGCCCTCCGCACCACAGACACATTCTGGAAACACCACGGCTGTTCCTCCCTGGGCGAAGCCAAAGGCCCCCGCTGACGGCAGTGGGACTACGGGCCATTCTGGCCCTCAGCCCGCAAGATTTTCTCCTTGTGCCCGGTGGGAGCAAGCCACGCAGGCAGCTTGGGAGTGCCCTGCCCTGCCGCGCCCCCCGCCTGGCTCCCAGTGGGCATGGCTAAGGACCCAGCAGATCACAGAGCGCCTCTCCCTGGCCGCGGGCGCACAAACTGCTAACGGGACCGGCGCATGCGCGCAGACACCCCGCCCCTCCCGCGTTTCTCTGCCAGGCAAGAACACCCCTCCCCCCCCCGCCGCAGGGGCACAAGCCCGTCCCCCCGGACTAACAGCCCGTCAGCTCTGCAGGCGATGGCCCTGGCCGGCCCTGCCCCATGGACTCCTCCCAACGAATGATCATGCCACTGGTCCCGTGAGCGCCCAGCTGCTCCTCTCCAGCCCCACCCGATCCAGTCTCCCGGGGCTCCTCGCTCTCCATGCTTCCCACTCACTCCTAAAGCCGCAGGGGCCCTGCCAGGCAAGGTCGGTATTAGGCTGGCGTCATGCAGCCCGGGTGGGTGCAGTGGCCGAGAGGTTCTCGTGCGCGTCAGTGTTTGGAAGAGGGAGGTGGCAGAAGGCAGCTACTGGGAGAGGCAAAGCGGTGACGGAAGGAGGCTAGGCAGGCCGCTGGCTGGACAAAAGCTGGTGTGCAGGGCCCAGCAGGGCACATGCAAGCCCTGGGCGTGACCCCGACATGCATCTTCCCAGCCCACAAGTCACCAAGAAGAGCAGAGAAGATACAGCGCAAAAACCACCTTGTCCCTGAATAGCTGAAGGTTTCCTAACTCAGACCAAAAGCACTTCCAAGAATGCCTTGAGTAAGAGGCTGCCGATTCACCGCCTGTTCCTGTAACACTCCCCTCCCCCCGGCACCACACAGCCAGCCGCCGCCCCCGGCCACTTTCAGTTACACCTTCCAGTTCAAGAATGGCACATGCCCAGACCACAGCCGGGGGAGAGGCTGCTCCCAGGCCTCCGGACACACCCTCAACCCCCAGAGAAACAGGAGCTGTGCCGAGATCCAGCACTTCCCACAAGCCTTGGGATGCAGTAGAGCCGATTCCAGAGAGGGCCAGGCGGGTAACCGCGGATTCGGGCGCTAGAGCTGATGGTAGGCGCCTCCTGCCGCGCTGGTGTAGTGACTAAGGGGAGAGAACAGTCACCTCCCTCCTCTCCGTAGCCCAGAGAGGGAACTCGGAGCCGTGGCTTTGTGAGGCGCCAGGAGGAGTTTGCTCACACAATGACTCAATTTCCAGGAGGGGAAAGGCAGTTTCCCAATCCTCAATGGTGGCAATAAATCACCTTCACCTGGGTCCCAAAGGACACCCTCCAGCACCTGATCACCTGATGCTGGCTAGGAAGGGCCCTTCGCCTGCAGCCCGGGGCTACCAACCAGCCCAGCATGGGAGCAGCGGGGGCAGGAGACAGGCCTCAGACACCTCAGTGCAAACCTGCCGTTTCCACCCGCACTGGCCCACACCGGGGGGGGCCTGCATAGACAGCGGGCGCTACACGGGGCGCAGACGGGCCAGGCCCTAGAAGAGATGAAAGGGGCCTGCCTCGGAGGGCTGGCAGGACAGGAAGGAAGATGCGCTGCTGCAAAGCAGGAGAACTGGGGCTGATTTCACACCCTGTTCCAAGACCTGATTATTTCAGAGGCTCCCCACGCCACGTCCCTCCTTCCCGCCCTTCACCAGCCTACGCATCCCCAGGCAGCTGGGCGAACGAGTCACGTGACTCACACCAGCCAGAATGCGAACCATCCCAGAACCAGGGACTTGGGTGGCCCCTCCAGCACACAGAAGGGAAAACAAGATCCAAGTGGCTCCATCTTCCCCGGTACTGATCTCTTCCTGGCTCAGCCTATCCCTGCCGGGGAATCCCATCCCACTCACCACTGTTCAGCAGCACGCCCACGTCATTCCTGGCACAAACCACAAACCCAGGCAAGCGGCTCCGGTTCCTCTGGCCAGGTGCATGTGCTCTGGGCTGCTCAGTGGGCATTTGCCGGTACTGGCACTACAAGCCGCGTGAGCCGTGGCATCGGTACTGCGCTCTGCAGCCGATCTCCACTGATGCTCACGCCACTGGTAGCACAGACGTGGAAAAACATGTGAGTGAAGAGAAAGCCTGAGTCAGCAGCTTCCCCTCCCACCACTCTGAGCCCTCTTCCCAGCAGCCTGGCAGGAACCAGGGTTAATAGTGGCAGACGATCATTAGCAGCCAGCCTCTTCAGACAGGCAGGCATCCTCCAAAGCTGGAGACCACGGCCTTTGGGACATGCCGCTGCCGGCTGCAGGGACACAATGAGCAGGCCTCAGCAGAGTGCAAAGCTGGCGATGGAACCAGTAACACCCGGCTAGATCTTGCATGCAATGACTGGAGTTGTCTGGGGGGGGGGTTCCTCCCCTTGGGAGGGCTGGGGGACGCAGGGACTGGGGCTGAAGTCACCAGCAGAGCTGAGTGGAACCAAGGAACTGAAGAGCAGGGACAGCGAAGTGACTGCGGCATAAACTCCGGGCCTGTATTCCCACGGGCCCGATGGGATCATACGCCCCTACCGCCCAGGATGTGCGCGGAGAAGCTGTGACTATACGTGAGCAGGCTAGAAACCCAGAGACAGAAGCCGTTTGTAAAGGGGAGAGCTCAGCTCCACACACATTCCCTACCCACTCCACCAGGGTAGCCGCTAATGAACTGCAAATGACTGACAAGTCCCTGTCTAGCAGGCAAGTGTGGGTCTCAGTTCTGGCAGGAGAAAAATGAAGGTGCTGAAGTGGGGAATTTCTGCCTCCATCTGTGCAGCGCGGGACCAGTGGGACTTGGACTTACGGGGCTACCAAGCACTGCTCAGAAAGGCTCTGTGGCCCCACGGTTTGAGTCCTAGCGGGGTGCTGTGCAGGCAGCCTCTCGCACACGCCTTGTGACCCATCGCATGCGCATCTTCCCACTCATCTCTAGAGCCCGCCACGCTGGGCCCGAGCGCTGAACTCTCCTCCGTGCCCCCAGCGAGCTGGTCAGGACCCCGTTCCCATAGCCCGGAAGCCCAGCGCATTGGAATCACTGCTGGCTCACTCTGCCTCCTGCTTCCACTGAAGATCCTACCAGCTTCCTGCCCTCCAATCCCTTTCACACCTTCCAGCAGGACTGATTGCGTCACTTCCTGTTCTGCAAATGGGCTAGATCAATGTAACGGGAAACTGAGAAACTATGAATCAGAACTGCTATCCCGGTCATGAGTGGAACCAGATGCCTCCTCCTCCCCCCACCAACCGGAGTCTGAACCACTCCCTCCCCCGCCCCCACAGGACAGAGAAAGGGGAGCCATTTTCTAACCTGCGCACCGCACGCCTACGAAGAGGCCAGTCCCAGGGAGCAGGGAGCTCAGTCCATCCTTGGCCTCTACTCCAAGTGCCAATAACAACTGCTCCTAGTCACTGCCGACTGGGACTGGACGAGAACCCAAACCCTAGAGACAAACCACCAGTTCCATCCTCAGCCCAGAGCCATCCCAGCTGGCCAGGTCTAGGGTGCTGGGACAGGGACAAGCCCGGCCCAGCCCCTGCTCTGTATCTGCGCTAACCTTCAATCTCTCTGCACAAGGCCGCCTAGGCCCGTCTCACCTTTGGCGTGGAAAGTCCACCCGCTCCTGGAGTATTCCTGCAGTCGGACCCTGCCTTGCTGGCCACGGCGGCACACCTTGCTGTAGAACTGACGCTCAATGTGAACATAGGCAGGAGGAATGGCACCCGCCACCCCCTTGGCTC